CATGCTTAAATCTCTACACAGTCTCAAAAACCACCAGTGCCCTGGGAGGAGGTGGAAGGAGAGAATTCTTCCCTCTGCTCAGCCCTGGTGGGACACATCCACATGCTGGGTCCAGCCCAGGCTCTCCAGTATAAGAGAGACATGGACACACTGGAGAGAGTCCAGTGAAGGACCATGAGTGTGATAAAGGAGCTGGAGCATCTTCCACTGGAGGAGACGGAGCCCGTTCAAGGTGAGACTCTTCATCCTGGAGAAGAGAATGCTTAGGGGAGTCTTCTCCATGTGTATAAAGATCTCATGGTGGTGTCTAGAAGACAGAGCCAGGCTCTTCTTGGTGGTACCCAGTGACAGGACAAAAACGTGCTTTGAGATGCTGCACAGAGCAGAAAGTCACAGCAAGCACACACGGGGAACATGGCAGCGCAGGAGGAAGCTGGGGCAGATGCTGAAAAACCATTGTAGGAGAATGGCAAGTTGATAGGAAACATTCACAGCTGGAGAAGGCTCAGCTGGAAGTGCTTCAAGCTCCAGAGGTGCTGAGCACCCTGCAGTGAAATTGAAAAGAGCTGCAGATCCTCAGGATGTCTGGAAGATGTTTGGGTTCAATATGCGGATACAGGAGCCAAGAAACAAGTTAGGAAGTAGAAAGTTTGGATCCTGATCCCCAGCAAAGAAAAAGCAACATAAGAATGCAAAATACAGAGGAGGAATTAATTATGGAGAGCATCTGTGTTTGCTAATGGGACAGAATTAATTTCACAGTGAGACTTTGGCTACAGTGTCTACAGGGGCTGGTCCAGAGCATGCTCAAGGGTAAGGGGAAACATTAACAAGAAATAAAGAGGAACTTACACAGCTACTTTCTGGGTTGTATAAAACATATGCTGTGTGAACAACCTGTCATTTTCACAACTAAAATAACTTGAAAAGGGGTGAATCAAAGTTATTCTATTACAAATATGAGTCACCTATATATTGATACACCATGATGGAACAGAAGAACAAACAATTAAACACGAAGTATTTAACCATAGCTTTTATTACATGGAAGCAAGCAATGGTTCATTTTCCAAGCCACAGATGGTTGAACAGTTACAGCTTGCCTCAGTTCCCAGTATGGAATGATTTCATCCTGTGACGCTGGATGAAATCCTCAGCGAACAGGGTAAAAGTCCTCCAAAAGCTCGCCTATTCTTCTCTTTTCTGCAAGAGGCAAAAGGTGGAGTTGGGAAAACCTCATCAGCATTTGAGATTAATATTAAAAACCTTCAAAATCAATGTCTTAAGGTTAACAAAGCCACCAAAAATCTGGTTTTTGCTAAACAGTGAATGATTAGCTTGCTGCATAACCCCATCATTTCTTTTCCATAGGGCTCTCCACAGATCCCTGTGAGATCTCAATACTAATGCTCCTCTCTTTTTACATATTCCTTCTGACACAGCGTGATGTGGATCACAATCTCACAGCCAGAGTCACCTAACTGTATTTTATTAGAAAAAAACAGTTTTCACCCAAATTTGCTGTTGCATTGCTGGGCTCAGTGACTGCATTTAGTAAAACGCTGTTCCTTCACCAAGTGTCTACGTCAACAGAACTTCAGATTTCCTGCCATTTCTATTCAGTCTTTTTTTTCCACCTACTCTATTTTCCGAATATTCATCATGCCATTTTTGAATCAACATGCACTGGAATTTTACAAGAACAAACAGTAAAATTCATTTTACAAGGAACTGTGATTTCTAATTTCCACTACTTCACTTCTTCTTCAGTGGCACAAGCTTGGTCTATTCTTATGTCTTTTGGGTCTACCATTTTTATATTAAAATGAGCTTTTAAGAGGAAGAGTTGGTCACCAAGACAGCTGGTCAGCTCAATAAAAACATCTACTTTAATATGAAAATACTGTTGTAATTTAGATTGTGAATTAGCAGGAATTTTAGCAGTGAGTATGACTTGCTAGAAAAGAAGAGATTCTGCAAGCAGCCCAGCAATGTCTGTACACACACTAACACTTATTAACGGGCACGTTATGGCAGGCTGAGGTCTTTCTTAAAGTACCGACTTATTATACCTGCTGCCTTAAAGTCTTCCGGGTGGTGCCTCATGTACTCGAACAGCTCCCTGTCCACTTTGGCATGTAGGTATGCCGCACGTTTAAGGAGGTAATAGCCAGCAAACCACCCCACGGTAGTGAACAGGATCTGGCGGTGAACACCTGCACAGGAAGAGAAACGTTCCCCTGCTTCAGCGCCTCTCCCGGCCCCACATGGGCCCCCTGCTTTCTCCAGCCTCCTCTGGACATTTTGGCCCCGCATTCACCAGCTCCTCTCTCCTTGCTTTGCCCCTGCGGACAGACCCCCCAGGTCCCTACAGCACCCTCCCCTACAGACCTCCCATGGCCTCTACCAGCCCCAGAGACCTTCCCTTTCCTCACGGCTCCCTCTCCTTTGCTCCCAACCCCTTATCTCCCACAGAGACACCTCAAATCCCACAAAGCACCCTTTTAACCCCCCCACTCCCTTCACCTCGGGGTCTTCTCTCCTTCCCACTGCCCCTATATCCCTCAGAGTGACCCCAAATCCCACATATCCCCTTCCCCAGCCCCTGTAATCCCCCCAGCCCCTCACTTCAGGGCTCCCTCCCCTTCTCCCTACCCCTATATCCCTCACAGTTACCCCAAATCCCACATACCCACTTCACCATTCCCTCACCCCAGGGCTCTCTCCTCTTCCCATCCCTTCATATCCCTCAGTGATCCCAAATCCCCTCCACCCCCATACAATGCCCCTTTCCCA